TTAACTATCTATGTATCAATGTATCTAATTACTGTTAATGTCATTGTTATGGGGGTTGTGGTTATTGGTGTTGTGTTTTCATATTTCTGCGTTTATTCTTGCCGTTGTTTACAATTCTTGTTCTATTACAGGAACTACATATGCATGCCACATCTATCTAAATATATATATATGTGTATATATATATGTGCTCACCCCCCCCCCGTTGACAGACCGCGGGTCTAAAAAACACCGTGCACGACGATATTCTATGAAGCAAAACCTTTACATGAGGTACATAGTATAGCACCAGACGTGCGGCACATGAGTTACGTAACAGTCTTGTGGCAGTATCGGTATTAGGGTGAGTATTATTATTAATATTAGTACTATTGTTTGCTGTAAGTATACGTATCAATATTGCCAACTATAAATTAGTGTTAGTGCTCATGTTCGTGTTAGAGTTAGCGCTAGTGCCATTGTCAATGTCAGTAATACAGCACCACTGCTACGAGTAGTATCAGTATCAGTCTTAATGCTGGGTTTAACAGCAGCTTATATTCGCAGAAGTGCTAGTATTAGTATCAATATTAGAACTAGTTAGTTTGGATATGTTAGTATATTGATAGTCTCGTATATTAGCAGATGAGTATATCAGTACATCAATGTATTCGAACAGTAATATATTTAAATACTTGTATACTAGTATATTTTACATGTTAGTACAACTGGTGCATGAATACACTACTATACTGCTGTACTAGCTTACTAGTATATTGACATACCAGTATATTCGAACGTTAGCATATTAGTGTACGAGTATGTGTACTATATGACTGTTTTATCTAAGCATTTATAAGTATATCAGTATGTTGGCATATTGGTATACGAACTTGTCATGTCGGTATTCTTGCATAGTGCAGTAGCCGTATATGAGTACAGTCACATATTCGTGTAGTATACTCATACAACAACGAGAGGTATATTGATACATTGGTATATGGGCATATGCCTATGCCAAAGCATTAATACATGAATGCACTGACGTATATATCTGTATCTTAAGATAGTGGTATGTATTTTATGTACATTAGTATATGCAGGTGTCTATTAGTAATGATATTAGTCATCATATCAATATGAATATACTATTGTTGTTCGTAGCAGTATTAATGTCAATATTATTAGAAATAGGACTATTTATACTCGTAATAGCCATAATATGAGTGCTCATGCTGGTAATACTAGTGGCATTCTTGAATATTCAGCAGATTATCAAAGTCCGTACTAGTGTTGGTGATAGCATCACTGTTAACGCACAAGAGTTTACGTATTCGTATTCGTAGGAGTATCAATAGCTATGTAAATATTGATGTTAGTATAAATTTTGTGTGAAGTATTAGCAGTAGTGTTAGCTGTATTTTATGTACATTAGTATAAGCAGGTGTCCATTAGTAATGATGTTAGTTTTCATATCAATATGAATATACTATTGGTATTCGTAGCAGTATTAATGTCAATATTATTAGAAATAGGACTATTTATACTCGTAATAGCCATAATATGGGTGTTCATGCTGGTAATACTAGTGGCATTCTTGAATATTCAGCAGATTATCAAAGTCCGTATTAGTGTTGGTGATAGCACTACTGTTAACGCACAAGAGTTTACGTATTCGTATTCGTAGGAGGATCAATAGCTATGTAAATATTGATGTTAGTATAAATTTTGTGTTAAGTATTAGCAGTAGTGTTAGCGTTAGTACTATAATATTATTGATGATATACATTCGAAAGAATGTTTGTAGTATTATTACTCTTGATCACGTGAAATTCTAACATTTGAATACATGAGTGAGTTAAAGGATTTGTATTTTAATATGGTGGTATGCATGTTTATGTACATTAGTACATACAGGTGTGTGTTAGTATTGGTATTAATATACATTATTATCAATATGAATATGGTTATTGATATGCGTAGGAGTAATAAGAGCAATACTAATCAATCTTAGTATTTGTGTTATGCATATTCGTACTAAGCTTTATAGAAGTGTAATATTAGTAGTAATGCTGGTATTAGCTTGAGCATTCAACAAATGATCACTGTCAGTATTTCCAATGGCAATACGATATGTAGGAGTATCAATACATATATGTATATACAGATAGACAGGTAGATTGAGAGATATTCGTTTAAATATGGGCATGAGTATTGACAGCCCTTGCCTTTGCAAGTAAGTCGTGCATGGTCTGTCATCGGATGGGTCACAATCAGCCCTCCTGAGAATCAATTCCAAGGTCCAGAGATTCCAAAATTTCCAAAAGTTCAAAAACTTCCAAAATTTCCGAAATTTCCAAAATTTCCAAAATTTCCAAAATTTCCAAAATTTCCAAACTTTCCAAAATTTCCAAAATTTCCAAAAGTCCGCCCTTATGTTTTGGAAAAATCCTGTCGACTAGGTCGGGAAATTTTGGAAATTTTGGAAATTTTGGAAATTTTGGAAATTTTGGAAATTTTGGAAATTTTGGAAATTTTGGAAATTTTGGAAATTTTGGAAATTTTGGCAATTTTGGAAATTTGGAAATTTTGGAAATTTTGGAAATTTTGGAAATTTTGGAAATTTTGGAAATCCGGAAAGTTAAGGGAGAGAATTTTGGAAATTTTGGAAATTTTGGAATTGAGTTTTTGAAAGCTGAGTACCCCCTCCCCCGATCACAGACCATGCACTACGACTGAGTTGAAAGGGCATTGTCTGTCAACGAGTCTTTTGGTGGTTCCACAGATACGTTCGGAGGGCTCAAACTCGATACCCCGGAAAAAGCACGAACACACCGGTGGGAGCGATGTTTTGAAGGGGATGGTCTGTCAACGGGGGGGGGTGACCATATATGTATATAAGTATATGTATGTGTATATATATATATACATGTTGTATATGTGCATATGCATGCATGTCTACTCTTAACTCTGCGGCCTTGAAATGCCCAAAGCTTCTGGCATTTGCAATGCAACTTTAATTTCAGAAGTGCAAACACGCGCCAAAATCTCTGGCTTTAACAGCAAGCTGTTTCTGCCACACACCTGGGGTCGGTGCACGTTGTCCCCGAGAGGGCGGAAGCCAAGCTCCTGCGTGTACCTGCTTTGCCAGGAGTACAAGAAAGGAGAAACCGATCCCTCAGCACTGGGGCAGCGCCGGCAAGCCCTAACAGTCCCTAACAATTGTCAAGGTCTGGACTGGGCAGACAAGTGGGCAGCAGTCACACATTTCAGACACAAGCAGCTCACACAACAGCTTGTTGCGGGCTTGTCGTTGCGAAGCCCAACCCTTACACCTCCAAACGCTGAACTTCTCCATATGTGTTACAGGCCTGCAGGCTCCGCGCGGAGGCAGCGGGGCCGTCGAGTAGCGAAAGGGCAGGTACCTGGGCAAAAGAGTCAGGGCCCTGCCACTTGGGGGAGGCCTTCCACACATGCAGCAACCTCAAGAACAAGTAAGAACAAATGGCACTGCAGCACTCGAATGCCAGACTAAATAGGCTCTTGGTGAGAATTTCCTCTGCCACCAAGAACTGCACCTGAGAAACTCCACCAATACCTCCCAAACAAGAAATCCGGAACATACGAACTGCACAACGGCGGCTAGCATCACACGAACGACCGGCACCTCCGAAACAGAGGCCCGCGTACATAATAGGTATGTATTTGCGTCATGTTCTACCGTAGCTGCTGACCTCTGACCTACCGACTAAATTTGTCGACCTGCCCAACTATCGATCTGCCGACTAACCGGTCAATCCACCAACATATAGATACTGAAGCAGATGGTGCAGATGTCAGCGAGACCCATTCCTACAAAAAGGTGTAGTTATTGGTGTGCATGGTCTTTTGTTCCACGACCCAAAAACTCCGATGAAGCAAGCGGGTCTCGCGGCTCAGGCCAAAGCTTCGTCGTTCGCTGGCCCACGTTCACAATCTGAGTTCGGACCACAATCACCAGTGTCTTACTGTATCTGTTTTCTATTTGCAACGCTGCATCCATTGGTCCATTTCCTTATCATTGCGTTTGTTGGGTGGGTGGCTGGGCAAGTGGGTGTATAATCAAAACATGCATACATACATACATACATACATATGTTCTGTTTATATTTACATACACATATACAGAGATCTTTCTGTCTATGTATATATATATATATATATATATATTATATGGTCAGGCGGTTGACGCTCCCAGCCCCCCCCCCCCCACTCCCCAATGGTATGGTCTGCTACGGGGTGGGGGCGGGGCAGGGGTGGGGGCCGTTGGAGCTGCAGCTGGAGGGACGGCCAGGCGTCACAGATAAGGCCAGCATCGTACGCAAGCCCTACGCAAGCCATAAAATCCTTACGTAGCGCAGTAGCGCCTGCTCCTGCTTTTATTAACCTTAACATAAACTTCAAACCCTGCCACCAACCCTAAACCCCGCGCTCTAAGCCTAAACCAGAACGTAAACTATCAACCCCAGCGAACCTACACCCCAAACCCTCTCTAAGCCCCTGTCGACTCGAAGCCTTATACCTTTTAACCCAAAACCCTAAACCCAAATCTCACAAGCTTAAGCTAGACCCAAAACCCCAACCAAAACCCCAAAACCCCAATACCCCCACAACCACCCCACAGGCATCCTGGACCATAGACCGTGGAGGGGGGAGGGGAGGGGGGGGGGGGGCGCGGGGCAC